CCATGCAGCCTTCTCTTTGGACTCCCATCATGACAAAAGTACCTAATCACATATCCCTTTTAAATAGTTTTCTCCTGCATGTCTTTCAATGCAGTATACATTATTGAACCCATCTTTCTCAGTCTCTCCTCAACCCTGAGGTCAGTCCTGTTTTACAACAGTGGCATCATGCAGCATTTGTCCTTTTGTGACTGAGATATTTCTCTCAGCATAATGTCCTCCAGGGTCGCCCATTTTGAATAATATTTCATGAGTTCCTTGTTTTTCAATGCAGTGTAGTATTCTGTTGTGTGAATATACCACAGCTTCTTTATCCATTCGTTTGTTGATGGGAGTTGTTTTTAATTTTTAAGAAGTCATTAACACCATTAACAAAGACAAATAACCGACTGGGTAAAATTTCAATGTATCCATCCTCCATAATGGATTTAAGTTGGTGTCGTTACGTACTGTTGAGTTAGAACCTGCTCATAGCAGCAGCTTTTCAGAAGCAGTAAATGACACAGGAAGAGTTTGCAATTCTTTCTCTGGCAGAGCAGCTGGTGGATTTGAACCGTGTACCTTTGGATGTACAGGAAGAAATTAAAAATATCATGGCCTGAATCAGGCATGTGTTGATCTTTAAATTGACATCTTTGCTCTTTAATACATTAATTATGTCCTTGACAGCAAATTTTCCCAATGCAACATGTCTTTTGCTTTATTTTTTGTTTTTGTTATTTTTCCTTGTAATTTTAGTGCAGCACTGAAAAAACAAGGAACTAATAAAATCTTACACAACATGGTGACACTTGAAGACATTATGCTGAGTGAAATATTTCAGCACAAAAGGACAAATACTGCATAAAAATCACTGTTGCAAAACAGGACTCACAGGGTTGGGGAAAATGGATAAAAGAGGGGATAAATGATAAACAGTGCATTGAAACAGATGAAAGAAAGCACTGTCTTTTGCTTTCTTGACTGCTGCTGATGTTGATGGTAAAATAATTTAATTGACAACTTCACTTTTTTTCTCTATCATGATGTTGTCCATTGGTGTACCAGTAAGGGTTTTTAATTTTCTTGACTTTGAGGTATAACTCATATTGGAGGTTTCAATTTTTTATATTCTTCAGCAAATGTTCAATTCCACTTCACTTTCTCAAGCAAGGCTGTGTCATCCGCATAAGGCAGATTATTGATGAGCCTTTCTCCAATTCTTGTGCTGCATTCTTCGGCCTGTAGTCCAGCATTCAGACAGAATTCAGGTATGGAGAAAGGATACAACCCTGAAGGACACCTTCCCTGATTTCAAACCATGAAGTGTTCTTTTATTCTGTTCTGACCAGTGCTTCTTGGTCTATGTAGAGATACCACATGAGCACAATTAAGTATTCTTGGATTCCCACTCTTCTCAGTGTTAGCTATCATTTGTTGTAATCCACACAACCAAATGTCTTTGTTAGATGCCATGAGGTCAGCTCTGACTCATAGTGACCCTCTGTACAACAGGCTGTAACCCTTCTGGATTCTACCCCGTCTTCAAAATCTCTGCTCAGCTTGAATCCATTGTTGCAGTCACTGTGTCTACACATCTTGTTGAAGGTCTTCTTTTCTTGTTCTTAGCCTATGCATAATTTGCAAACAAATAGTAAAAGCAGGCCTATTCCATCTCAAGGAAGGTAAATTAGTGTGTGGACTCATAAAAGCTCCTTTATGCTTATCTTAATAGACACAGTTATTCACTGACTTGGGATCTCAGACACTAATTGCTGGTTTCAGTGTCTTAAAGTGTTTCTGAAACCTGAGTCCTGATTTAAAAGGCAAGGCTTGTGAAATGAAACCAGGCCAAGGGAAACACGAATGCCTTGGTCATTTTTCACTTACCTGTGACACAAAGTTTTGCTAAGAATCACTCTCTTCACCTGTAAAAACACAAGCTCAATTGGCTTTGACGACTGCTGGGAAAATGCAATCTTGATGAATTAATTTGCACACACGACTTCCTTTCCACGGATGCCACAGATGGACAGGCACTCTGAATATTCTTGATTGTAAGTGGATGCACTTGTGGATTGCAAATGCAGTGTTTGATGAACATCAACAAAGGAATGGAGCTTCTGGCAACCTGCTAAGCTTAATTGTTGTTTTCATAAAAAAAAAGAAGGTAAACAAAGACCTTGTCATTCCTACAAAACACTTCTAAAACACTCAAACCAAACTCACTGCCTTTGAGTAATTCTAACTCATGATTTTCTGTGACTGTAGATCTCTATGAGAGGAGACAGCCCGCCTTTCTCCTGTGGATCACCTGGTAGATGTGAACCTGTGACCTTCTAGTTAGCAGCCTGACACATAATACACTATGTCACAACGGATGACTGTAAATTAATGGAATTGCTTTCTTTAAAAAGCCAAGTATTCCAGAGATGGACAAACAAATAATACATTCAGAAAAGCTCCTTTGTTGTCCTTATTCAGGGCATTGAGAACACTTGGTAATCTTTTTTTTTAATTGCTTCCTGGTTCTGACACATTTTTCCATTTCTTCATTTATAATCAGGCTTTTCCTTTAAAGAGATATGAATTTTTGAAAAGACACTAAAATAATATCTATTTGTGGAGTTAAATACAAGTGGATAAAAGGAGCAGGTGCAAGGTGAGAGTGGCCAAACCTGGCTTCTACCTGCTTCATTTAGGGGAACTTCCCCCATCAATAATATCCATAGTATCTCATAAATAACTACATGGTCAGATATGCCACCTGACAGGCTTCTGTAAATATTTCTACCAATCATTCTACCAATCTAATATTTGTTGCACCTTGACTCACAGACTTGACTCACAGTCGTGGAGTTTATTACGGAAATAGGTTTGGGAATGAGTGAGGCAAAGAATATCACACAATGCAAGTCCAGGTTTAGTCTAGAAATCCCACACCAGATTAACAAGGCAGAGTTTCTCAATTAGTCCAGGCATCTTCTCAGTCAACAAGTGAAAACCTAGGTTCATTTCAGCAGCACAAATAAACCTCTGGTTTCCTCAATCATCCAGCAAACTTTATCTCAGAACAATTATAAGACAGCTTTTCATTCAATCATGCAGAAATCAAAACTGTGGCTCCATCTCCAGAGCTCCTCTGCTTACATCTTGCCACGGTGTCTTAACAGCAGTTCCACAGTACCCTCACTCTCTCTCTTCCACTCCCATCATCTCACAATGTGGAATGAGCTCTCTCTTATATTGGTACCACAGCTATTGCTGATTTGCAAGATCATGTGTCTGCAGTTAAGGGTGGCGATCATGCCCCCCAATGGGGCTAACATAATGGCTAGAAAAGCCACAAACTGGGGGAATTCAAGCACCAGAAATATTTTGTCTCAGACTTCTAGGAGCTCTTGTCATTGTTAGGTGTTTTTTAGTTGATTACGACTCATTGCAATCCTAAGAAAACAGATTTACACCCTATCCTATCCTGTGCCATTCTCATCTCTGACACAATTGAACTCATTGTCATTGTGTCATTCCATCTCATTGAAGATAATGTACTCTTTTGCTGACCCTCCATCCTTCCAAGCATGATGTCTTTTCCCAAAGAATATACAGTCCTAGAAATATGCCCAAATTATGTGAGACAATGTTTCTCCATCCTTGCTTCTAAAACACTCTGGCTGCCATTTCCCTAAGATGTATCTGTTTGTTCTTTTTTCTTTTTTTGAAAATTTTTTTATTGGGAAAAAACATATTGGGGGTACAAGGAGGTGAGGGTTGGGGGCAGAAGGGTGAGGATGGGCAGGGATGCAGTTGCAGAGCTTCAGAAATTGGTTGGTAGGGGGAGCAGGTGAAGGAAATGAAAAGGATCCAGTAGGGACCAGATGCTACAGGAAAATGACAAGCATTTTCCAATGGTAATTAAATCAACTGTCTTATTGATTTGGGGACTGGATGCTGACTCTCTGGCTTCTTCATGCTGAACAGGGGTGTTGATGTGAAGGGGGAAAGGGAGGACACTTTATCACCTTACTAGTGATCTTGGGTTAAGGCTGTTTGCCTTCTTGTTCTGTTAGAAAATATTTCCTGTCATTTGCTCCCCTCTGGACTGCAATGTGTTTTCCCAGGTGGGTGCAGTGGGGATGGCTGGTTGAACCCAGAGGCTCCACCCTCCTTTGCTTCTTTAGCTGGCAGTTGTATTTCCTTTTTGTCACTGGCACTGAGTTCGGGGTCAGGTCTGAAGTAAAACTCAGTGGTAAGGTTACCTGTAGGAAAGGGAGCAAACCTAGAGAGAACAAACTTGTGAGTTACAAATAGAGAGGTTTTGGGGGTGTTGCTTTCAGGTTTACTGGGGGAGAGGGTGGCAGAAAGTAGCCTAGGTAAAATTCTCTGGATACCCTAGGCAGGTTTTTTTTCCTACCCAGGGGACAGATGGCACAATCTGGGGACTGAGGAGCTCACCCTGAGGGCCGTGATGGCCTCACCCCGAGCTGAGGGCCAAAGACAGCCCGCCCCGGGCAGAGGGCCGTGACGGCTCGCCCCGAGCTGAGGGCCTAGGACAGCCCATCCCGGGCAGGGCAACATCCCCAATGGGCTGGCTGGTACACTCCCCCTCTAATTTCCCCCACCCCAATCTGGTCCCCTCACCTGACCAAGGACTGTGTGGCCAGGGACGGCATCTCCAATTCCAGCACCCCCATTTCCCTCCATAAGTGTTCATACTATAATTTGAAGTAGGTGTCACTGCCCTCCCCCTTTATAAATGGCAAAGGGAACCTAAGAATTGTGAACAGGCTCCCCCCAGGTCTAAAAGCTTTTGGCAGAAGCATTCAACAGATCAAAATATGTGGTGCATTTAGGATGTCGGTCCTGTTGGACATGCTGCCAGTGTTAAGTGTCATCAAGTAGACAACTCACAGTGACTTTCAGCAATCCATTGTATAGGTGATCATCTCTGGTTTTCCAAGGAAACCCAAACCTGTAGGCAGTGGGGCGCACATCCCCCCCACAGGTGATGGGGTGCGCACCCTATCTCCCATGTGGGTGGCCGGTGGGCATGTATCATCTTGTGTGTGGGCAGCCGGTGGGCGCCATGCCCCAGCGCGGGCTGCTGGTGGGTGTGCGTCATCTCGTGCACAGGCAGCCAGTGAGGGTGGGTACACGCCATCCCCTAGCATGGGCGGCCTGCGGGCACACGTCATCTTGCATTCAGAAGACTGGTGGGCGCTTGCCATCTTCCGTGCGTCATCTCCCACGTGGGTGGCTGGCGAGCACATGTCATCTCCTGCATGGACAGCCAGTGGGCACCATCCCCCAGCACGGGCAGCTGGTGGGCGCCCATCATCTTACACACGGGCAACTGGCGGGTGCGCGTCATCTTGTGCGGGGGCAGCCAGTGGGGGTGGGTGTGCGCCATCCCCCAGCGCGGGGGACCCATGGGCGTGCGTCATCTCGTACACAGGCAGCCAGTGGTTGTGCACCATCCCCCAGCACGGAAGGCGAGCAGGCATACGCCATCTCCCACATGTGTGACTGGAGGGCGGGCACCATCCCCTAGCGTGGGTGGCCGGTGGGCATGTGCCATCCCCCCCCGCCCGCGTGGCTGCTGGGTGAGTGCCATCTTCCACGTGGGTGGCTGGTGGGTGCAAGCCATCTCCCGTGTGTCACCTCCCACATGGTTGGCTGGCAGTTGCGCTTCATCTCGCATGTGGGAGGCCAGTGGCCACCGCTTCCCCTGCAGCTGCCATCTTGGTTCCAAGAATTCTTTCCCCAGAACCAGTCCACTTTGCCACAGTGTGGCAGCTCCGCTGCACCAGTCCTAGGGAGGCCCGTTGCCCACTGTCCATCCTGGGTGAGGGATTCCATAGGTTCCGGCTGTGGGAGCTTCATGGAGCTGCAGCTGCAGTGTGGTGCAGTGCGGGCTCTTCGGGACGGGGTTGGGAGCTGCAGCACTCACCCATTCTTCCTTGCGAATCTGTGAATTCTTGTTGTTGAGCCTCAATCCTCACTGAAGACCAGTCATCAACTGTCTAATTTTTCAATTATCAGAAACAGAAGTTTGTAGGAGGCCATAGTGCTCCTGTTCCAAGTGATCCACTGCTCCCGCAGCTCACCACGTTGTCTCTGCCTCCGCCGCCATCTTGATTCTCTGTATCTGTTTGTGCTTAAAGAAGTCCATGAATATTAAGTACTCTTCTTCAACATCACAGCTCAAAGGCATCAATTCTTCTTCTGTCATCCTTTTTAAACTGAAAAGCTTTCTGATGGAAAGCAAGTGATTGAAAAGGCTATGGCCTGAATCAGGGGCACCTTAGTCTTCAAACTGACATTGTTGCTCCTCAGTAATTTGGAGAGGTCACTGGTAACAGACTTGTCCAAAGCAATAAATCTTCTGATCTCCTGACTTCTCTTACCAAGGATATTGTTTGTATATCCAAGTGAGATGAAATCTTCATAATTTCAATCTTTTCTCTATCATAATGTTGCCTGTTGATCCAGTGGTGAGGATTTTTGTTTTCTTGATGTTGAGATGCAGTGCATATTGAAAGCTGTAGTCTTTGATCTTCTGCAGCAATCCCTTCAAGTCCTCACTTTCAGCAAGCAAGGTTGTATCATCTGCATAACAGAGGTTGTAGATGAGTCTTCCTCTGGTCCTGATGCCACTTTCTTCTTCATAGAGTCCAAATTCTCAGATGATTTGCTCAACATACAGATTGAATAGGTATGGAGAAAGGATATAGCCCAGATGCACACCTTCCCTGATTTTAAACCATGCAGTGTTCCATTGCTCTGGACAATAGCTTCTCGGTCTAAGTTTAGGTTTTGTATGAGAAAAATTAAGTGGAAATCCAAAACCAGGGTATTGACCAGGCCATGCTCACTTTGAAGACTCTAGAAGTTCCAACCTTGTCTTCCTCCTGGCTTCCTGTGGTCCCTGAAAATCTTTCATGTGTTGCTTGTTCCTTAGCTTGTAGATACATCAATCCAATCTCTGCCTCCTTTTTCTTTTATTATTATTAATTTTAATGAATGTTTTACAGAGACTTTGGATTTCCATTCATTAATTGTTGCATTTTCTCCCTGCCCACCCCTCCCCTGCCAGTTCGCTCTTCTCTTTGAAAGTTAAAGAAAAAATCTTTCATTGTTATACAATCCCTTTCCCCAAGTCCACTCCACTATGCAGCCTTCATTCTGGACTCTTGTCATGATAATAATACCTAGTCATATATCTCTTTTAAACAGTTCTGTCCCTCATCTGTATCAATACATTATTTATCCCCTCTTTCTCAGTTTCCCCTCAACCCTGATGTCAGTCCCATTTTACGACAGTGGCACTATGCAGTATTTGTCCTTTGTGACTGAGATATTTCACTCAGCATAATGTCCTTCAGGGTCACCCATTTTGAATAATATTGCATGAGTTCCTTGTTTTTCAATGCAGTGTAGTATTGCATTATGTGAATATACCACAGCTTCCCTATCCATTCGTTTGTTGGTGGGCATTTAGGTTGTTCCCAACTCTTTGCTATTGTGAACAAAGCCGCAATAAACATGAGTGTGCATTTCTGCCTCCTTTTTCATGTGGCCACCTTTCCTCCGTGCCTTGTCCTCACTTCAAGCACTCCCAGCCACTCCCCTGTACCTCTTTGTTTGTCTCTTCTCTTTTTGATAAGGACCTCGGTCATATTGGAAGAAGTACAGCGAGAATGCTTCTTAGAAGTGAGGACGTTGAGACTTCATCCAACACTTTGTGCATGTTATCAGAGGCCACCAATCACTGGAGAATGATGGGTCAAGTTGAGTCAACAGAAAGGGTGAAAGATCATCAACAAAACAGATTGACAAGGTGGCTGCAACATTGCAACCCAAACATAGCAGTGATGGTGAGGATGAAGCAGAATTAGACACCATTTAGTTCTGTAGTTTGTGGGAACATTATGAGTGGGAACCAATCCGACAGTACCTACCAATAAAAACTGTATTAGGAGTGAGCTCTGGTGGCCTCGTGGGTAAGGAGTTGCACTGACAACCCAAAGACGGGATGTTCAAACCTTATCCTTGGGAGAAATATGGACAATGACCTCTGGTGCAATTTATGTTATTGTTGTTGTTAAGTGCCATCGAGTTGCAGGCGACTCATAGCGACCCTATGAAGGAGAGTCCTCAACGCTTGGGTGCCTTTCATCCTCTCTCCAGGTTCATAGGGTTTCAGGAGGCAAGCTATTACGGAAGGGGATGCCACTCCTCCTTCTAAGCTTGTTTTAATCGGAGAGCTCCAACCCACTCTTTGTCCACATTGGGTAGCCAACCATTAATACACTTGACACATCAGTGTCACAGTGTTCAGCCTCACAGCAACCACAAGTTACCACTGTACGGCAACTTGTACACCAGGGCTATACGACCTAGAGGAATGTCTGAACAAAAACAATGAAAGGCAGGCCCAAGGGCTGTGGATTAAAAGTCACCCACCTTCGGCTTGGTAGCATGGCCTTCTATCCACTGGGCCAGCTGGTCTCTCTCTCTATGTTGATGTTGTTAAGTGCCATCAAGTTGCAGGCGACTCATAGCGACCCTATGAAGGAGAGTCCTCAACGCTTGGGTGTCTCTCATCCTCTCTCCATGTTCATAGGGTTTCCAGAGACAAGCTATTACGGAAGTGGATACCACTCCTCTTTCTAAGTGCCTCTGAAAACCTGTTGAGAGTCAGCTCTGTGTTGGTTTGAACTTGACAGCACATAATGGCAATGGCCTTCAGTTTGATTAGTTTGTCTGAAGCTTTTCAGTCTCAAATTCCCTCTGGTTTGGATAAAATTCTGTTCATCTGTTGAAGCAGATGAACGAGGCTGGACACAACCCAAATGCTCACTAAGGCCCATGCTTTACCCAAAGGCCATGCTTTTCTGGTGGTTCAAATTTACCAGCTTCCATGGAGGAAAGATGGGCAATCTCCTCCTATTTCATTTGCAGCCTCCAAATCCCAATGGAGGGTCAGCTATGAGTCAGTTCTGACTTGATATCAATGAGTAGGGGAGTGATGTAGTGTTCTTGTTAGGTGCCATCAAGTCAAGTATAACTCAAGGAGACCCTGCAAACAACACATCAAGCCATCATATCCTCACAGTCTCTGCTGTGCTCAAGCCCAGTTGGCTTCCATAAAGGTTTAAAGCCATTGAACCCCCATGGGGCAATTCTATTCTGTCCATAGAGTCACTTTGAGTTGATCAGAGGGTTTAGTTTGTTTCTATTTTTAATACCCCCCCCCTTTTCTGTATTTAGCAATTCTAGGGAGCCAGACGCAATGAGGCGGTTTGATACTGTGAGAAGCTCCATGCAAATTGATCAGACTCAAACCTATTGCTGCTTATTTGATTAAAATCCATAGCGACCCTATAGGAAAGAGCCAAACAGTCCCATAAAAGCACACTGCCTCACTGTTCCTCCGTGGAGAAGCTGGCGAGTTTGAACCACAGACTTTCTAGTTAGTAGCTGAACTCCTTAACCATCAGGGCTCCTCTCCAGAGAGATCAAGTGATAGGTTAAGTGACACTCATTTGAGGACATGAAGAGGTGGGGAAAGGAATGCAAATAGGTTGTTCCTGTCCTTCTGTCCCCTTCAGAACATGTTTGGGTTCCACAGAGTCTTATCTTGCTTGATAAAGAGGAAGTTACACAGAAATCTGGCAGAAGTCATGGACTTCGCTATCCTCCATCATCCTTTGGTTTCTCAAGCACGCTTTGCTGAGAGGTTTGGCTTGGCTGATGGTGAGTTTTTAAGAGAGTGAAAAAAGACTGAGAGGTGAGGGCGAAATAACTTACCTGGTGAAAACATTGTGCCTTTAGGAAAGGATTTTATTATTATTTTTAGAAGATATTTAAGAGGATTATTATAAAGAGCAATAAATCCACATGGTAATAAAAAATTAAAATAGTATAAAAGGAGTTTATCAACATTATTATAAACTCTTATAAAGGTATTAGGGAACTCTGGTGGCCTACTGGCAAGAAATTGCACTGCAGTCTCGAAGGCATGTAGTTCAAACCCACCAGCTGCTTCATGGGAGAAAGATAGACAATCTCCTCCTATGTGATTAACTGCCTCTGAAAACCTGCCAGAGGGTCAGCTAG